GTGCATCCTTTAAAGTTTGTCAAATGTTTCAATATTGCAGGTCCGCCTAATTAAGTAGCCGCCAAATGTTCAAAACAGCTTATCCGCCAAATTATGTAGCCCCAAATTAAGTAGAAGTACAGTATTCTATCTGATGAAGGAAGATCAAAAAATATCTTTAGATGAAGTAGTGTACTTGAAACTGCCTTGGGAAGGGTTGTCCATTCTCTAATTGAAGGTCCTGAATCCTGATAAAATAAATCTGTTGAAATACATTTGAATTAGAATATGAGCTGAGCAATGTGACATTAAACCTGAACTAGCATACAAATCACAACTGATGCCACAGTTTTCTTCAAAATGTACAGTGTATCACTATTTATGAGGAAACAATTGTTATTGATGAAAATATTGGAGGATTCTGGTCTGCAAACGTAAGCGTTTAATTTTCTAATTAATCAAGTTTTCTCAGAGAATAATTTAGAAAAGGCATTGTCCAAAATCTAGTTCGATTAAGATTTGATCGATATCTTGGAGAAATTCAGTTTTTGCTTATAAAACTAACTTCTAGCAATATGCCAATAAAGGTCTTTAGCTCTAAATACACAAATAATGTTTAATAAATTAAGAAGGAAAGCAGAGATTTTTTATTTCCTCAAAATTTCCTTGTCCAGAATCTAGATCCAGTGGTTTGATGAAAATTTTAGAATCTGTGTGTTTAAGTGCGAGAAATGTATAAAAAGCTGCATGGTAAGTAAATCGAAGTATTGTTATTTTGAGTTATGAGCCATATGTTATCATAATCAATAATATACATAGACGCAATATACAAATGAAACCCTCCACTTGTTCTATCTATAATATCCAGAAACCAGAAACATGAAGTATCATTTTACACATCAAGATAAAGTTATAAGGATTTTCCAGAGAATCTGCTAAATAAGGCATGAACAGTAAATATTGTTCGATTGTTTGTTATTCGATGTTTGTGAAATTCACTAATTCACTAATTGCTTGTATTTGACTGTGTATGTAGTTTCCTCTGTGTTTGGTGTTAAATACCAAGTTCTGTAATATTAAATAATATGCAATTTTAAAATTGGACAATTGCGAAGAGACTTTTGAGAGACTTTGGGTTAAGTTGGTGACACCAAGCTGTTGGAGACCAAAATTTAAATATCCCTTGATGTAAAACTTACATAAGTATCGCTGGCAAAAACAGATATGATTTTTAAGTTTAAAAGTACCATTGTATCAATATACATTGGACTGATTTTTATTTTTGAAAAAGTTCATATCGATCAGAAAACCCAAATGTCAACATGTGTCATCTTGGCAACACATATCAAACCACATATTGTTTCAAGAATTTCATAATGAAAAAGAGAGAAAGACGATTTCTCTCTGCTTGATATCAGTATGTTATTTATACCCAATAATTTTATAACTCATTACTTGTAAAATTAAGATAATTAGCATGGAACTTGATTTGATTTCTCATTTTACATCAAGGCATATAAGAGAACTTGAAACGAGTTTGAGGAATCTGTTTTTTTAAGCGAGGAATTCTATTTATACCTGGGTAAGATTGAGCTATTAATGAAAGCAGAATTGTCTAGGTTGTCAACATTTCACAGTCCAACACGCGAAGTAAATATTATTACATAGATAATGAACGAACGTATATTTCCCATAAAGCTCTATATTAACATATTCATCATGATGCAAACTTGGATCTTTAGTACACAGAATATAGAAATCATATTATGTTTACTAGATTGAGGGGAAATCAGAGAATTTATGGTCATAAAGTCCTACTAATGTTATGTACAAAAAATGCCCTGAGGCAAAATTCTTTCAAATTTAGATGTGGCCAGGGGGAAAAGTCCTTCAATGTTGTAGCCATGACCAGAGACAAAAGTCTTTCAAATGTTGTACGAACTGACTAGAGACAAAAGTCATGACCGGAGACAAAACTCTTCAAATGTTGTAGCCATGACCAGAGACAAAAGTCCTTCAACTGTAATCACTTTGCAGTTGAAATGATGCTCAATCTCAGAGTTTTATCATGATTTGAAGGTGTATTGACCACCAATTTTAAGGACTCAAATTGAATTAAGTTGGGGATAGGGTGCTATTAGGGGTTGTTTCAAATGTTTGGCAAAAAATTTGACCACCTATCTACCATTCCAATCTGTCTTACCCTTTCTTACTTCAATTTTTCAATTCAATTCACTTTATTTCAAATGTTTCAGATACAGTATTTCACATTGACATGAAAAGAGGCTTACTATTCTTAGAGTTGAAGTAGACAGATCTTAGCAGACCACCATATTGATTACGACTCTTAAAATTGAGAATGAATGATGTCAAGCTCAGGCTCACGTGCAAGTAACATTTATCAATATATGACCTAATTTGTATCACATTTTACCCAATTATTAGGAGGCCCCATCGGGGGGCCTCCTATCAATTTTGTAGATATTATTCTTTATTATTCTTTATTATTATTATTTATTCTTCCTCCCTCTTTTTCTCCTACTTCCGACTAACTTTCAACTAGCTACTACATAGTCCTACAAAGGACCTGGGCTGAACTTGGCGGGAAAGGAATTTTTATCTAGGTCAAGGTCAAAGGTCAAAATCTAGGTCAAATCTAAGCTTTTTTTAAGTTTCTCAGATTTCGTCCTCATACTTCATTATTTCTTGCGATGAATTAAAATGTAACTAGATATAAGCATTCTCTACAAATTGCTCACTATATGTACGCGTTAATTTTTCACCGTTTTTGAGATATTTGACGTCAAAAATCGGCAAAAATCGGTCATTTTTCAACTTGCTTCAAATGAACCAGATTTTTTTTTAAAAATCATCTACAAGATCTCAGGAACTCAAATGTGTCCTTACTTTTGACCTCCGACCTTTGGTTGACCTTCGGTGACCTTCGAAAGGTAAAAAAAGTTGTTTTTTCAAATAGATTTTCTGGATTCAAATTTAGGTATATTTGATCAGAAAGGACCCACTGAGGTCTAAAAAAGTAAAATTTGCAAGGTCAAAGGTCAAGGTCATCAAACTAAATCACAAACTGTGTTTTCTAAGTTTCTCAAAATTGGAGACTACAAATCAATATTTTTTCATGAAAGTCAGGATATATATTCCTCTATAGGTTCTACACATATTAGCGATTGACTATTTAATAAAATTGTGTACCAGTTTTGAGATATTGGAACTCAAAAACTGAAAAAAGGTCAAATTTCGAAACTTTTCAAGACTAAATTTCAACTTGCTTCAAATTGACCAATTTTTTTTTTAAAACTAATCTACAAGTTCTCAGGATTCCAAATCTAACCTTACTTTTGACTTTTGACCTTTGGTTGACCTTCAGTGACACCCGAAAGGTCAAAAAAGTTGATTTTTCAAATCGATTTTCTGGATTCAAATTTAGGTATATTTATTCACAAAAGACCTTCTGAGGTCTAAAAAAGTAAAATTTGCAAGGTCAAAGGTCAAGGTCATCAAACGAAATCACAAAATGTGTTTTCTAAGTTTCTCAAAATTGGAGACTACAAATCAATATTTTTAAATGAAAGTCAGAATATATATTCCTCTACTAAAGGTTCTACACATATTAGCAATTGATTATCTATTAACATTTGGCTCCAGTTTTGAGATATTATAGCTCAAAAACTGAAAAAAGGTCAAATTTCAGAATTTTTCAAGGTCAAATTTCAACTTGCTTTAATTCGACCAAATCTTTTTTTAAAATCATCTACAAGTTGTCTGGAGTTCATATATGATCTTAAATTTGATATTTAACCTTGAGTTGACCTTCTAATTGGCAATGCCTACAGTAGACTGTATCCTTCGTCTGAATAAATATTCAGACTGTAAGTCACCTATTGTAAAATGTGGTGTTGTATAAATGTTACAAATAAGTTTGTGTAATGATAAAATGATTACCTTATAAAGAACTTACAATATTATTTTTTCGTATATTGTCCTCTTACTGAAGATATTCATAAAATGTACAGACGCTTCTTGTAGCGAAGCCATTGATTAGGTCAAGCCATTTTGGCAATGCCAATTCTCACGATAAACGAGATTTAGCCAGTGACGTCAGTCTATTTGTAAACAAATAACACGTGGAGCGGACGGAGCAACATTACGGAAGCGTATTGCTAAATTCCATTTGTGCGGGAATTTATTAGATCTAGTCATTTATTATCATTATCCCGATTAATTTTCTTCATTTATAGTAAATAGAGCGGAAATATTCATGAAGAAGGCCGAGGTAATCAAGTGGTCATGTGTTGTCAAAGTTCAAAATTTGCATATCTCGTTTGGATCTCGTGAACTCAAACGTCCTTGACATTGATTTCGCGATCTACTTATGAACACATCCTGAAGTTTCGGTGAGTCTGAACATTTCATTATTTTATATCAACTTGTACCCGCCTTATACAAATATTTTTGCTTCTAGTTTAAGATGAACATCTCTTCAACATATTCACCAATTTTCAAGGTGAACATTCTTATAATAAACGAGAAATTAATGTGCAAAAAATATCACCGCGATTTCCACAGGAAATATATCAATCATAACAGACCGAATATTATATTCGGTCTGTTGGATACATACTAATGCCTACAGGGCCTCCGTAAGATTGCTTGCAATCTTCTAGTTATTTGACTCAAACAAAAAGTCATTTTCATTTGTCATTAAATTTAATATTGTTTTTATCTGTTAATTACCAAATCAATTCAGTAAACATATCCTTTGTTTTTCTGTACAGGTATACTGTAAACCAATCAAATTATAATTAATGATGATTCGAAATTTGAATGGTAATTAAGCCATACAGTAACCTAAAGATTTACAAGAAATTTTTAAAACCAAAAAATCATTTTATTTTTTTCTATCAAATTTTCATCATATTTTTTAACGTGTATGTATGCTTCGCTTTGACTTCTTGAAAACATATTTATATAAACATAAAATCATATACACACAATATACTAACCTGTGACTGTCTTTATTATTGATAGAGGGAGTACCAATGTTGCAGACATCATGTCATTCAAGGCCAACGAGATGAGAAAATAATTGAACATATTTCGTAACTTTTTCTCTTGCTTCACCGCCAAGCAGACCATCGTGTTTCCAAACAAGGCTAGTATGACAAAGGCAAATAATCCGAGTGCGGGCCAGTTATAGCCTGGCTGTCCCAAATAGGATGGCAACTTGCACGTCAAGTTCATGGGCGATGAGAACAATGTCACATCTGTTGTTAGGTTATAACCATTATATTGCATCTCGTTCTCAAACTGCGGTAACATCTTTGTGAAATTCCTCTCTAACTCCATGGCTGGTTTTAGCTGTAACACGATTACTACACAATGTGGCCGCACAACTAACTTTTATATAGTTTAGTCTTGTTTGATTGTTGGCTTCCTATAAGTGTTATTGTCCACTTCTCCATCCTGGCACTTCTCCATAACATGGCCATTAGCATTATGTGGTAACAGTCAACTATGCTATAATAATTATATAATTGAGACCAGTAGCTCTATCTGCAATTCTTGTTTATAATGCTCTCTAAGAGTTAGTTCTATTTTCAAGATTTTCAAACACTTCAGGATAAATATAATATGTGTGTTACTTTGCTTTTTTGGTAGTCAAACACTACTTTGCTAATGTTATTTTTTGAAATTTTATTTTTAATATTTTTTTTTATTTATGTATCAATCCTAGTATATTTGCTTCACCTTGAGTATCACAGTTTCTCCTTGAATATTTACATTCTCCTTGGAAAGTCCTATTTTCTGATTTTTCAATATTTTTCTTTCTCGATTTTTTACATTTCTCTTTGAATGATACTTTTTCTCTTTAGTTTGACATTTCCAAATCTGGATATTCCATCCCTCAATGAATTGTTGTTTTTCTAAAAAAAATAATGTCAGCAATTTAGTGTAAACTTTATGTGATTATATAATCCTTGTTCAGGTTTCTGTGGTAATTAGCATGTATGTAATAATCCATTAAGATTATTATCAAATTATCAATAGCATACTTCATCGCCAACAAATACCTCAATATTTATTCCTCTATAACGTGACATTCCTTGAAGTTATTCCTTCATAAAAGGTAATTCCTCTATAATCTGTAATTCATCTATCTGACAACAGACAATAGTTACTGTATCCAATATAATAGTCACTGTATCCAATATAACAGTTACTGTATCCAGTATATTATTTACTGTCATAATAGTCACTGTATCCAATATAATAATTAATGTATCCAATATAATAGTCAATATATCCAATATAAAAGTCACTCTATCCTCTATAATAGTTACTGTATCCAGTATATTATATTATCTACTGTCATAATAGTCACTGTATCCAATATAATAGTCGCTGTATCCAATATAATAGTTACTGTATCCAATATAATAGTCACTCTATCCAATATAATAGTTACTGTATCCAGTATATTATATTATCTACTGTCATAATAGTTACTGTATCCGATATCATAGTTACTGTATCCAATATAATAGTCACTGTATAATAGTCAATATATCTAATATAATAGTCACTTTATCCAATATTATAGTCAATATATCCAATATAATGGTCACTTTATCCAATATAATGGTTACTGTATCCAATATAATAGTTACTTTATACAATATAATGGTCTCTGTATCCGATATAATAATTGTATCTAATATACTTGTCAAAATTGTCACTTTATCTTATGTATATTAGTCACTTTATCTAATAAAAACGCCACTCTAATATATAAGTCGCTCTATCCAATATAAGATGTAATAATGTCTTTAAGTCTCCCTCTGTCAAGTGTTAAGGTGAAATCCTTGCTGATATAACATTATTTCTGGCTAGACAGAAACTCTATTAATGAATGGAATTGACAGGCTTATGTTGATTTTTTGTTAAATGTTAATCAAATAATCAAAATAGCTTTTTATTCTCCTATATTTAGAAATTTGGATCCAGGTATTTCGTATGCATGAGCTGTATATATACAGTGGGATTTGCATATATTTAGAATATGCCAATATTGTACTTATTGTGCTTAAATTAGGTTACCTACCATTGTCTCATATTTATATCCATTAATCATTTAACATATATGCATGTGACACTATCGAATGATATATCATATAATATGTATAACCCACACTTTGCATATATATGTAGAAATATATCTTCATTCGCTATGCCAATATTTTTTGTTAAGTGTAATGCAGCTCCAGTTCTGTTATATAATTTTTTTTATTCCTCCAAGTTTTCTTTTATAACTCTTATCACTGAAAGTTTACGGTTTAATGATGCCTCCTGTGCTAAACATTTCTAAGCCAACAAAGCGTCGGCAAACAAAACTGCAATAAAGATATTTTCTCGATCAATATCCCATGTTATATAATCTCATAACCCCTTCGTTTAGTCTAGATCTGTTAAAATGGTGTTTTTTAATTCCAAAACGGAGTTAAAAAGCGATTTTAAATCCATCAATACTAGTTGAGAGAATAACTGATTTAATTGATGTGATATGAGTATTAGAAAGGGAAACATTCGCTAAGTTGCTAACAGATAATTTCCTGATACAGTTAGTCGACAATTATAGCTCAAGAGCATTTCTTCGTCTAGTTACATACTTAGGAAGTTCGTGTGAAAAGTCTCTTCAGCAGGCAAACCTTTATCTTGATTGTATCTCAGGATCCTGTGTAGTAGACTATACCATGCATTTTCACTTAATCTCGGTCTGCATTGTCCAAAAAGACTAATGTCTGTAATTTTTCTTAGCGTGAAAACATCTTTTGAAAGATGGTAAGATGATCGTGTTCTCTGCTGTTGTAGTAAAAGTCGTTTTCTCGTTGTAGGTATTTACCTGGCTACCTGAATTTCTCCTTGCATTTCATTCAGGTTTTTCTGAAAATATAGAGAAAATAGCAAGGAATTATTGTAAATAAATATGATTTTGAACATCAAGGTGGTGGTGGTGGGGGGGGTCGTTAGGGGGAGGGGGTCACAAGGGTTCCATATTTGACTAAAACTCTCTAATGTTTCTTGATTATTCTATCAAAGAAAGTTGGGATATACTACAGTAGAGATGCCGTCAATCTGTTCCTTCTTTTGTCTGTCCATCCATCCGTTTGTCCGCCTGAGTGATAATTCAAATACCAGTGTCAGATTTGGTTCAAATTTTATTGAGTAATGTCTCGAGGAATATGACCTCTGTTCATGAAGGAATTTCCAATATGGTTGCTCAATTTCAAATAACTACGACTTTTTCACAAGAAAATATAATTTAGATACAAGATTTGGTTCAAATTTTATGTGCTGATGCCTTATGGGTATATAGAATTTTGCACAAGGCTGCTAAATTCAAAATGTTACCATCATTTTATAATTTTTGATGATACAAGTACCAGTTAACAGATTTGATTCAAATTTTATAGGCTTATGCCTCATTGCACAAGACCTCTACTCAAAAAACTTATTTCCAATATGTTGTTACATCAAGCCATAGATGTAGATTTTAGCAAAACGAGACAATACTACTGCCTGGTTATTATGTCACCACCAGAAGTTGTGACATTGTTATTGTCTCCAACTTTTTGTAGATTGTGTTTGGTGTGCGGTGTTCAGTGGTTGGTGTTCGACGGTTGACATCCGCAACAAATGGCAGGTGGTGACATTTTGCATGTTAATGCCTTGTTTCTATTATCTAGATGACAAGTAATTTCATTAAAAAAATATTTGGTGTTATCTGCTAAACCAAGGAGTCTCTGTTTTTCCACTTCAGATAGCAGAGAGGAATTCTCTGAAATAAACATGTAACAGCAGGCCAAAGAGATAAATAAACATACCTTTATATAATTATAGACAGATTCCTATCTTGGATTCCTATCATAACATATCCATTGGGTGTTTTGATAAACCTTGGATTAACATGTTAATAACAGATTAGTACATAATTATCAGGTATTACACTATAATCTCATCCACTTTATTTATTGATTATCAAATTTGTTATGATTTCATTTTTGTTGATCTACCCATCTAATAGTTGTACACTGGGGGAGGGGGAGTATTAAGGTAGGCAGAATGTACTGATTTTTGGACAGCTATGGCATCAAGGTTAAAAGTGTTCAGTTAGCAAGGTTTCTTAATATGTGAGTCAATTGAAAGTTTAGAACAAGAAAAAGTGTTCACATTGAGAGGTGTTCTGATAAGAGAGGTGTTCGGCTATATAGGTTTTCTTATATATATAGAACTACATCACTTGTTCCAATTGACCTACCTTAATCCAACCAACATACTTTCATTCTGAAATCTTCGTCTCTGAGATTCTATTATCACATCTCAGAGTTGTACTAATTGAGGCTAAAACCAGACAATTATGTAGGATAGTAGACATCAGTGCTTTCTATATCCGATTGAAGGCTTTTTGGATTGCGTTATAGTCCCGTTCAAGTAGTCAATATCACTAGTAGGTTTGCATTTGTCACTTTGTCAGTTACAAACAACTTATCTTCTCAAGTCCTTCCAAGAAGTTTCAGTATTTTTTATCTTGCTTTAAGAATTTTGTAAAAATGACTGAAATTGAATTGAATTTTAATAGGCGTTTAATTGAGATATATAATGAGCTAAATTGTGTTATTTCTAAGCTCTGATATTTCTATGAGTATTAAGAAATTAATCTATGGGTATTAAGAAATCATTCATGTCAAGTATTGGTCAGTGACCGACATTAAGATATCTTCAGTGGGATAAGTTCTATTTATTACGAATAATATCGAAGGAAAAAAACAAATCAATAATCATCATATTATTTTGTTTTCATTTCTTAAATTGGTCTATGGATTCTGAAACAAATTTTATAATTCCCTTATCCCTTAAGGATTAAATAGTTTACAGGCCTTTTTGATGGGAGAAAGTCTGACCGGGGCTGGGGTAACCCATTTGTTAACATTTTCAATCATCTATTGAGAGGAAATGTGTGGACTATGAGAATTTTCAAATTAACAATCTATAACAAAGTCACTGACGCATTTGCGTACATTGTTCCTACGCCCCTGGATCCATTTAAGTATGTAGAAAACCTATCGAGAAATCAGGACAACGGGAATATGCAACAGCCCTTTCACAAGCTCGATTAGTGTACAGGTGGTCATTACCCATATCCCAGTCTAGCAAGCACTGGAACTTCACATTGCTATAAAAAATCAAGATCTAAAAATGAATAGATTTGTAAAATGGAAGTTGGACTCTGTCTGGTCAAATTCCTATCTGACAGGCATTTGAAATGGCGGAATATAATATTGCTTTTCCAGCGTTTTGATAGAACAGGTAAATATGAAAGTAATTACCAATAGTGCGGAGGCATACGACTAGTTGCTTAGTGTTTTTTGTATTTCTTCTCTATAGGTTCCCCAGATTAAATATCATATGTTTGTCTGTTACTCTGTTTCGCTGTGTATTGAACTGAGGAATAAGCAGAAACTAATGTAAAACATATTAATTTCTTTGTGCTTTTCTCGCATCTTTCTACATTATGCGTATTCATTTATTCAAAGTTTGCAATTATGTATTCAG